TTACTTTAGTCAGGATTACGTTCATGACTGAAGTGTAGTGCTGTTTGATCAGTTAGCACTGTTGTAGCCTTAATAACCTTTCAAATGTTGATTCACATGGAATCCCGCTTGACTGATTACCATTTAGTTTTGGTATCTGTTCCATCAAGAAAGTATTCTTGCTGGCTTCCAGGTGACTGGTTGGCTTTTATCTTAGCAAAAAAAAAAGGACAGTTATGTAGGTAAACCAGAATTATGAGCATACATTTAATACAAGATCCCATTAATTGGCCTCAGTGTATAGGTTGAAGGCAACTCTCTTAACCCTTTCCACACTGACTGGAAACACGTCCAGATGCATCAAAATGCTGTGATGTATACCTGGGCCAGACCCACACAGCTAACAGCTATAATTTTAAGGCATTTAACTTGATATTTACTCTAATTTATATAACATGTAATTTATATTAATTGCTTTGGTTAGATGAACAGATTGAGGCATATCAGCCTCATTAGAGCTCGAAACGCCCCACAACACCTTACGGACTAACTACAAAGTATACTTTAGTCAGATACAAACTACAAAGAGATTGGTAATATAGAATATATACAGATTAATCGATCGAGTATATCAATAGATATATGATTTATGTGTTATTTGCATTGCTGAAAAGCGTAAATCCTACGCAGGAATATTAAATTTACACAATATTATGATATATTTCGTATTTTACAAACTAATTGCGTGGATTTTCATTTTTAATATAAGATTTAAATAAAGTTAATATAAAATATTGTTGTTATATCCAAACGTTCTAATGAAGACAGATGAAAGTATTATCAGTTGATTTTTTATCAACTTGAGCTAAAGTGATTAATTAAAATATTCTGTTACAAAAATAAATCTGTAAGTCAATGTCATGTAAATCACGACACAAAGTGCATTTATCTACGCCACATGAGTAGAAGAGAAGCATTGGAGGACAAACGAGGAGAGGAAACCGGGAAAGAGTGGCGGAGAAATACAGAAGAGAGAAAAGTTTGAAATAGAGAAGTAAAACCGAGAAAGAAGTGGAAAGACAAAAAGGAGAAGAGGAGACAAGAGAGGGATGAAGGAGATATATGGTGGATATCTTAACTGTAAATATAAACCATAATATTGTCATTTAGTTTTCATCAGTTTACGAAGCTTAGCCTATTACTGAAGCGGCGTCTTGGTCAAACCCCAGTGATTCTGACCAGACCCAAACGGCTCTGATCAAACCCCAGAGATTCTGACCAAACCCCAGCGATTTTGACCAGACCCAAACGGCTCTGATCAAACCCCAGAGATTCTGACCAAACCCCAGCATTTCTGTTCGATCCCAAGCAGTTCTGACCAGCTCCATCGGTTCTCAAGATCAAGCCAAATGAGGAAGATATTCCTCTCTGTCACATTGTCTCAGACCCGAATATTCAAATCTTTCCAAATTAAATATCTAAACAATTATCAGCAATAAATGATATGACATGATATCTTTAACTATGAAAACTGAGAGTTCACAATCCAATAATTCCCATCACGATCTAATCTTATCAAGGACGAGATAGTGACAAGTGGGATTATCAGGATAATTCACAGGCCAGATAATTTCCATGGATGTGATTTAAGGCTGCAAGGTAATATTAACACGTATTGCCTTACCGTCTAACAACGCTGCAATTAGCGTTAAAATCCTGAATTTAATATTTATTTGAAGTTAAATTGATGTAAATTTTAGTATATGTCTCTTGCTTTCTCTCTCTCTCTCTCTCTCTCTCTCTCTCTCTCTCTCTCTCTCTCTCTCTCTCTCTCTCTCTCTCTCTCTCTCTCTCTCTCTCTCTCTCTCTCTCTCTCTCTCTCTCTCTCTCTCTCTCTTTTCCCCTGCATTCTATATCTCATTTTGTCAAAAATATCGTCCTATAGGTCTATGTATGTCTGTACAAATATATTGCATTTCCAAGAGGTTGTTCATCACGTGAGCTGCCCATGTAAGTCACAACACACAGACGTATTACGTGATCACGTCACATGGATAGTACAAGCACGTCACATGGATAGTACAAGCACGTCACATGGATAGTACAAGCACGTCACATGGATAGTACAAGCACGTCACATTTATAGTACAAGCACGTCACATGGATAGTACAAGCACGTCACATGGATAGTACAAGCACGTCACATGGATAGTACAAGCACGTCACATGGATAGTACAAGCACGTCACATGGATAGTACAAGCACGTCATAAGGATAGTACAAGCATGTCACATGGATAGTACAAGCACGTCATAAGGATAGTACAAGCATGTCACGTGGATAGTACAAGCACGTCACATGGATAGTACAAGCACGTCATAAGGATAGTACAAGCATGTCACGTGGATAGTACAAGCACGTCACATGGATAGTACAAGCACGTCATAAGGATAGCACAAGCACGTCACATGGATAGTACAAGCACGTCATAAGGATAGCACAAGCCCGTCACATGGATAGTACAAGCACGTCACATGGATAGTACAAGCACGTCATAAGGATAGTACAAGCACGTCACATGGATAGTACAAGCACGTCATAAGGATAGTACAAGCATGTCACGTGGATAGTACAAGCACGTCACATGGATAGTACAAGCACGTCATAAGGATAGTACAAGCACGTCACATGGATAGTACACGTACGTCACATGGATAGTACAAGCACGTCACATGGATAGTACAAGCACGTCATAAGGATAGTACAAGCACGTCACATGGATAGTACAAGCACGTCATAAGGATAGTACAAGAACGTCACATGGATAGTACAAGCACGTCATAAGGATAGTACAAGCACGTCATATGGATAGTACAAGCACGTCACATGGATAGTACAAGCACGTCACATGGATAGTACAAGCTCATTACATGGATAGTACAAGCACGTCATATGGATAGTACAAGCACGTCATATGGATAGTACAAGCACGTCATATGGATAGTACAAGCACGTCACATGGATAGTACAAGCACGTCATAAGGATAGTACAAGCACGTCATATGGATAGTACAAGCACGTCACATGGATAGTACAAGCACGTCACATGGATAGTACAAGCACATTACATGGATAGTACAAGCACGTCATATGGATAGTACAAGCACGTCATATGGATAGTACAAGCACGTCATATGGATAGTACAAGCACGTCATATGGATAGTACAAGCACGTCACAAAGATAGTACACAAAGACGTGTCACGTTGTGTCACAATGATAGAATACAGGTACATATCACCGTGACAGGATACATACGTGTCACAAACATAGGATACACACACGTGTCACAAGGACAGTACACAAACACAGGACACGTGCCACAAGGGTGAGGAACACAGGACACGTGCCACAAGGGTGAGGAACACAGGACACGTGCCACAAGGGTGAGGAACACAGGACACGTGCCACAAGGGTGAGGAACACAGGACACGTGCCACAAGGGTGAGGAACACAGGACACGTGCCACAAGTGTGAGGAACACAGACACGTGTCACAAGGGTGATGAACACAGGACACGTGTCACAAGGGTGATGAACACAGGACACGTGTCACAAGGGTGAGGAACACAGGACACGTGTCACAAGGGTGAGGAACACAGGACACGTGCCACAAGGGTGAGGAACACAGGACACGTGCCACAAGGGTGAGGAACACAGGACACGTGCCACAAGGGTGAGGAACACAGGACACGTGCCACAAGTGTGAGGAACACAGACACGTGTCACAAGGGTGATGAACACAGGACACGTGTCACAAGGGTGATGAACACAGGACACGTGTCACAAGGGTGAGGAACACAGGACACGTGTCACAAGGGTGAGGAACACAGGACACGTGCCACAAGGGTGAGAAACACAGGACACGTGCCACAAGGGTGAGGAACACAGGACACGTGTCACAAGGGTGAGGAACACAGGACACGTGCCACAAGGGTGAGGAACACAGGACATGTGTCACAAGGGTGAGGAACACAGGACACGTGTCACAAGGGTGAGGAACACAGACACGTGTCACAAGGGTGAGGAACACAGACACGTGTCACAAGGGTGAGGAACACAGGACACGTGTCACAAGGGTGAGGAACACAGGACACGTGTCACAAGGGTGAGGAACAGACACGTGTCACAAGGGTGAGGAACACAGACACGTGTCACAAGGGTGAGGAACACAGGACACGTGCCACAAGGGTGAGGAACACAGGACACGTGTCACAAGGGTGAGGAACACAGGATGAGGAACACAGACACGTGTCACAAGGGTGAGGAACACAGGACACGTGCCACAAGGGTGAGGAACACAGGACACGTGCCACAAGGGTGAGGAACACAGGACACGTGTCACAAGGGTGAGGAACACAGGACACGTGCCACAAGGGTGAGGAACACAGGACACGTGCCACAAGGGTGAGGAACACAGGATGAGGAACACAGACACGTGTCACAAGGGTGAGGAACACAGGACACGTGCCACAAGGGTGAGGAACACAGGACACGTGCCACAAGGGTGAGGAACACAGGACACGTGTCACAAGGGTGAGGAACACAGGACACGTGCCACAAGGGTGAGGAACACAGGACACGTGCCACAAGGGTGAGGAACACAGGACACGTGCCACAAGGGTGAGGAACACAGGACACGTGTCACAAGGGTGAGGAACACAGGACACGTGCCACAAGGGTGAGGAACACAGGACACGTGTCACAAGGGTGAGGAACACAGGACACGTGCCACAAGGATGAGGAACACAGACAAGTGTCACAAGGGTGAGGAACACAGGATACGTGCCACAAGGATGAGGAACACAGACAAGTGTCACAAGGGTGAGGAACACAGGACACGTGCCACAAGGGTGAGGAACACAGACAAGTGTCACAAGGGTGAGGAGTACAGACACGTGTCACTTCTAGGAAAAGAAACACACTGCTAGGAGAGCCCAATACTAAAGGGGAAGGTACTCACAGAGACGGAGGCCCAAGGTAGGCCGGTCTGGTCGTGAGAGTCGTTCATGTGGTCGTCGCAGTCGGGGACGATTTGGTCGTCATCACTTATAACAGCGACACGACGTACGCGCTCGCACACTGCCTCCATCTGAGCACCGGGGCTCTTAACTTGCTGTGAGCTCCGGGCTCAAATACCCCCCCCTTCGAAGTCCGGTAATTGGCTTGAACTTCGGGGACTCTCTCTTTCGGCTTCACCTGTATCGAGATCCAGGGCGCTCTATCGGCGGGCTGTGAGCCGTCTAGCTGGGCGCTCACTACGGAGCTCAAAGGTGCTCAACGACACCAGATGCAACACACATGCCTCAAGGGGCCTGGCAACGCCCCCCCACCAGGTACTCAGACGTCAAGTTACCCAGATATCAACGTGGGGCGACAAATTGTGTAAGCGAACAGACGGAGGTCTTAACCAGGCTTCCCTACACTGGGATGGGAGGAGGGGGGTCATGAACGTGCGAGGGGGGGTGGGTGGGAAGGTGGGAGGTCGGACGGAAGGAGAGGAGCGGGCGGACGGAGGTCTGAGGGCAGGAGAGGAACGTGTGTCTCCCACCGTGGTCGCTAGCGGACTGTCGCTGCCCGCCTTGATCGGGCACGTTTTCTTCTGCCCGACGTCTCAGAAGATGTCCCGGTACAGTCGCTAGTTGTCCCGTCACAGTTACTAGTTGTGTCGTTACAGTCGCTAGTTGTGTCGTTACAGTCGCTAGTTGTGTCGTCACAGTCGCTAGTTGTGTCGTCACAGTCGCTAGTTGTGTCGTTACAGTCGCTAGTTGTGTCATCACAGTCACTAGTTGTGTCGTCACAATCACTAGTCGTCCCGTCACAGTCGCTAGTTGTGTCGTTACAGTCGCTAGTTGTGTCGTCACAGTCGCTAGTTGTGTCGTTACGGTCGCTAGTTGTGTCGTTACAGTCGCTAGTTGTGTCGTTACAGTCGCTAGTTGTGTCATCACAGTCACTAGTTGTGTCGTCACAATCACTAGTCGTCCCGTCACAGTCACTAGTTGTGTCGTTACAGTCACTAGTTGTGTCGTTACAGTCACTAGTTGTGTCGGTACAGTCACTAGTTGTGTCGTCACAGTCACTAGTTGTGTCGGTACAGTCACTAGTTGTGTCGTCACAGTCACTAGCTGTGTCGTCACAGTCACTAGTTGTGTCGTCACAGTCACTAGTTGTGTCGTCACAGTCACTAGTTGTGTCGTCACGGTCACTAGTTGTGTCGTCACAGTCACTAGTTGTGTCGTCACAGTCACTAGTTATCCCATTACAGTCACCAGTTGTCCCAATCACCAGACATAAGACTAAACAGTAAAATTAGGAAATTTGCAAATGATAATAAAATAGGGGAAATAAATCGATATAAAAGACAAAATACCGTACACAGGTTCTTCAAATGTCTGGGAGATAATACAGTGACCAGGTATTAATTGAAGAATGTTTAAATTGTCAAATCTGATTGCGATAAATATGTTGGAGTTATAATTAGTATGGATCATCAGGGGAAAAAAAATTGTATAGATGTTAGATACAAGGCAAATAGAGTTTTGTGATTCATGTCTTCATGAGGTAATAGTATGATGTACAAGTATACTTACGGGTTCACCATGGGAAGTTCCCTGCTGCTTGGATATTTTGTTCAGAGTGGCTGAAAAATATATATATACATCGAAGAGTGTAATCCACTTCACGATATATATATACAATGAGAGTTTAGTTTAGCCGTCACAACTGCAAGAAAAGTAACAGGTTAACAAGAACCTCCGTTACCAGGGATCACTCCTCCAAAATTAAACAGAAAACCTGGATAAATACTTGCTTAGGATTGAGTTCTGCATAATTTCAAGATACAATTATCGGGTAACATAATAGACGTGATATCGCTGCCGTGTTTCAAGCTAAGGATAGACATATATTTGAATTATTTGGGCGGTTATAAATATGAGCTGCCTCTTGTTTTATGTTCCTATGCTCTAATTCCTTATTCCGATTGAAATTCTTTCATGTATAAATTCAAGCTTTTTCACATAAAAGGACGTAATGAAGAGACGGTGTTAGATAATCAGATGGTAGGGTATAGGGACCGGACAGACAGAAGTAGCAGGATGTCAGTACCGGACAGAGATAGTTGGCGGGAGTTCAGGGCTGGACAGATGAGACGGGAGTTCAGGGCTGGACAGACGAGGCGGGACATTAGCGAGGGAATGTTCAACGCGGGAGGGCGGCTAGTTTCCGGTGAAGGCTCTTACGTGCTTTGCCACCTTCATCGCCAGTTAGCCATTAACCTTCCACCTCTAGCGCCAGTTATCCGTTAACCTTCCAGGTTTGGTACTAGTTATCCGTTCAAAATAATGGAGACTTTGCAAGTCGAGCAGGAAGTCCTCGCAGATAAGGTTTGGCTCTCGAGTGGCCGTCATGATAACGTGAGAGATGACGGCATATGATAGATCGAGCAACTATAGTGTTTTATCGACACGCTGAGGGAGGGAAGAGGAGTAACAGAGTGTTTTGGCAATGATATTCCATCATTCCCCTTTCTCTGGAAGCTGAGAAGGGATTAAATAATGGAATAACGCGAGGGCTTGAAGATGGTGTAAGGATAATTCTGTCCCCTTGATTCATTTGATTCAGTTTCAAGAAACAGGACGCGCAATCTCGGATCTGGGAGCAGCGTCGAAGGACTGCCATAGGCTTTTTTTCTAAATCTAGAAGGCTTAATTAAGGCTGGGTCCGCCTAAGGCCTAAGGCTAACGCTTCGTCCGGTCGCTGAGAAGGGCATGATTTCTCTTGATCCTGACGCTGGGGGATCATGCCATCGCTTCGTCCGGACGCTGGGAGAGGCATGACTTCTTTTTATCCGAACGCTGGAAGATCATGCCATCGCTTCATCCGGACGCTGGGAGACTGACATGACTTCTCTTTATCCGGACGCTGCGAAGAGGCATGACGTCTCTTTATCCGGATGCTGGGAGAGGCATGACTTCTCTTTATCCGGACACTAGGAGAGGCACGACTTCTCTTTATTCGGATGCTGGGAGAGGCATAATGTATATTTTACTGATCTAGTGTCTGCGAATGACGAATTGTTTTATAATGGAGACGAAGAGCAATGAGATGAGCATAGTCTCTCCTCATTGATGTAATCGGCACGCTGGAGAGAGAGAGAGAGAGAGAGACAGGGAGGGGATAAATTTCCTTCAGTAAACATGACCTCGGAGGAAATAGCCTTTTTTGTGTGCGTATCGACGACGAACAGTGAAGCTTATAAACAAAGCCCCGCTCAGCATTGAACTGTTCAACGTGTAGGAAATACTGGTCTATAGTGAGAGTGGTAGACAAAGGGGCGGGAGCCAGAGGTGGCGGAAACTGGCACCATTCTCAGCTAGATCCAGAGGTGGCTGAAGTTGCCACCATTTGCAGCTTCAGGTGCAAATATGACGAAGTACTGGACCGTTGGGAGGCATCAGTGGATCGGGGACGCAGCCCGTCCTCCAAAAATGGGGTGGTAAATGTAAGGAGACAAATAAGTTCAATTATGTACATAGCAGTTAGGAATTGTACTTATTTTCACTTAGTATTAAATCGTAGTCAAATATATTGTGAATATTTGAGTTTACCTGAAAAACTGAATAGAAAACCACAACCTCACCTAACCGTCTTAGTTTTTTGAAGATAATTATTTTATTGCTTCTTAATTACAATTAGTACTTAACCTATAGCTATATTAATATTACAGTTTTATAAAACTAATAAAACAAATTTAAAATATATCAATAAATTGTAAAGTAACTCAGGATATTTCAAAATTTTGTATAAAATCTATATTGTTTAATAAACCTGAAAAATAAATTTTTGATATTTAAAACTTGTGTGAAACAAAGTGAAATAGAAAATGTCATCCTATATTTCTGAGTGTCTTAGAAAATTAGGAGAATTAAATCAGGGGAGGGGGTTGGGTAAATATTACAGCCCCATAAGTATATTTATGCACTGTTTATTAGAGTAACAAAGTATACTTATTACACTTAATATTAAATCGTATTGTTAATTCGGAGGATGGGTTGGGGTACGAGAGCTATGAGGCAGGACTCAAGAGCTGCATCTTGTTTTTTGCACAAGTTGGTAAGCATAACTAAATTGAGACACACAGTGTGTGTGTGTGGTTTTGAGGCGGGACCAAAGAGCCAAAGCTCAACCCCCGCAAGCACAAATAGGTGAGTACACACACACACACTGCACCGGAAGACTTACTGATAACATACACGTAACTTATTCTTTGTACCAGGATGCTAATTTGATTATTATGTGGTTATATTAAAGGTATTAAAAGTCTTCTGGACGCCTCACGAATAGTTTTATTGTGAACTGTATTTGCTCTCTTTTTGTTGTATTAGTTTAGTTCATGGGTTCCCGCCCCAGGGATGCCCGCACCTTCAGTGTGTGTCAAAAATCTAGCTTCGTGATGCTAAAATCCCCCATCACACAGGATGGTTAGTCATACAGGGCCATGTGATAAGCAGTCTGCACTGGCAGACTCTGGGTGCATTATGAGGAAAACATCATGAACACAAGAGTGAATAAGGCAGCAGTCATACTAAAAGTTTCCATCTCGCAGGATGGTTAGTCATACTGCCCCTTCCCCTGCCCCCTTCCCTTGCCCTCTTTCCCTGTCCCCTTCCCCTGTCCCCTTCCCCTGTCCCCTCCCCCCCCCCCCCCCCCCCCCCGTGTCCCTGCCTAGCGACCCATGGGCTGGTGGTCTGACCAAGAGGAAGAGCTGAAGCCTCCCGGACATTTCACCGCTGACATTATGTCGGACAGGACAGAGCTGTCACCTCGGAGCTCAACATTCTCATGCCGTCATACATCATTATGTTGGACAGGACAGTTCACGCTTTCGAGCAAGGAGGATTCACATAGAGGAAAGAGCAATACTGATGGAGGAATGTCAAGACTGAGGAATGTGAATAAACGGGTGAAAAGATAACAGCCAGAGGACGCGGGAAAAGATAGAACCAGAGGACGCGGGAAAAGATAGCAGCCAGAGGACGCGGGAAAAGATAGCAGCCAGAGGACGCAAGAAAAAAGACAGCAGCCAGAGGACGCAAGAAAAAAGACAGCAGACAGAGGACGCAAGAAAAAGATAGCAGCCAGAGGACGCGGGAAAAGATAGCAGCCAGAGTACGCGGAAAAATATAGCAGCCAGAGGACGCAAGAAAAAGATAGCAGCCAGAGGACGCAAGAAAAAGACAGCAGCCAGAGGACGCAAGAAAAAGATAGCAGACAGAGGACGCCAGAGAAGATAACAGCCAGAGGACGCGGGAAAAAAGGCTTTGGAAGACGTTAAAACATTTCGTAATCATTTTATGTCTGAAGCTAGCGTTATAATGGTAATTAAGCTAAGGAACCCCAACACTATGAATAGATTGTTGATGTATATGTTAACAAACTCTGGAATTAGCTCATCAATGCTGTAACTTGTTTAGCTAAACAAATATTGAGGTTCAGTTCCTAAACCCATTATGCACCTTTGTAATCTCTCTCTCCACCATACACGCTCGCCTACGGGACGTTCAACGATGATATGAACTAAACGAACTGTTTGCAGCAACACTAGTGTGTTGAATTAGTTGCAGCAGTGTGCAGACGATGAGTCACAATAACGTGACTGAAGATATGATGACCAAACCGGACATCGGAAGGTGTCGAAACGACAACGTTTCGGTCCGTGCTGGAACATTATCATGCCGTGTGATTGATAATGGTCCGAAACGTCGTCTTTTCTTCACGTCTTGATGTGTGGCTTGGTCATTATACTTGCAACACTGGTGTTTCATTAGTAGTAACACTGGTAGTGTGAGGCCCTCTGTGTATTACCGGAACAGATGGCAGCTTCGCCAGCTTGTGCGAGCATAACAATGATGAATTTGTGCATCAAAACATTGAAAAGTTGTGCGCTAGGCGCTGCTCCTTTCCAATGTTTATTGGCGGACGCTCATGCTACATATTGACTTTGTACGAGCCTTTTGTGAATTTAAACTCATCAATTGTTGAATACCAAATAGTTCCTGTCTTTGGGAGAGAAAAACGCATCGTAAAGCCACAATTCTGATGTTTTTTTAAGCTGTATGAATAATATTTCACTACATGCCCACTAGTGCGCAATTATTCACGCGAGTCATAGGCTTTTAGGATTCGTTTGTTTATACGTTAATGCAATTGCTTGATGATGTGGCCATCTATTGTGCGCGCGCACACGTCGTTGACGTCAGCAATGTTTGAAATGAGGTTGATTAACGCCATGTTCTTTGTTTATATAATTCAGCCAGAGGTCACACGTGGCTTTGTATAACTACACAGGAAACAACAGAGTTAACATCAATTAAGAAAAATATGCTCGGGGAACAGCGTAAGCGTAGTGCTGGAGGGCAGTGTTTTAGGTCCATTTGAATAACAATATTTCGACACAAATTATCTATTTATAAACTTGAGTGAGCAGCAGCTTAAGAGATATGGATATTCATTAACATAAAGTTGGTAATTGATTCATATGGATATTACAAGGAAGGGTCAAATATGTATACTATAATTTGGCAAATATTAAATGACGTAGAACAAAAGACAACTAAAACAAAAAAGGTAATCAGAGAAAAAATATATTACATAAAAATATCCAAATGAGAAATCGATAAATTTCACAAGAATAAGTATATTTCACGCTCACATCATTCACAATAACACGTAAACAAACGTGCGTGTCACAAGTGAGAATGTAATCTATAATAGTAAACAAATGTCTGAGGTAATTTCATTCACAAAAACATAGAGAGAAGCACATGTTGCCGGCTAGAATGTAAACACAGCGGGAGTGGGAACAGCTGGCCTCAACAATGACGTAAATGTCACATGTAATGAGCCGTCAGGCAACTGCAGGAGGATGAGTGTGTTGACTTGTTCGTTCATGTTTCCTTGAGGCACTTCATGGATTGTCCTCTTCTTTCTCGTTGTCTTGAGGCACTGGATTGTCTTCTTCTTTACTATTATCTTTAGTCTCTGGATTGTCTCATTGTCTTGGGGCACGTCACTGTCTATGTCCCTGTACGACCCGGCCCCCCAATTCAGTTTGATTCTGATAAAAATTGTACTTCAAACTTCAGGTCTGTAAATGGCAGATTTTATCAAGAGTAGAAACTAAGTAATTATCAAAAAAAGGCGCCGGGCCGGACAAGGGTATTAGAACCAAGATGTAAACTAGAAAATATAATAACAAGTCAATAGATTACATATCTACACGGGTGGACGCGTCAAACAACGTGCGGCTACTAATAAAAGCTTTCTAACTCTACACGTTTTGCTACACATAGCTACTACTTAATATCTTAATTGATGTTCACTTATTAACAGTTAAACCTAACTGTTA